GTCTGCCTACCTTATTATACCTCCCCTCATTTCTTCAACCTTCCTCCATTTCCATAGCTCCCTCTTAACTAGCAACTGGTCAGTGACAGGTGGGACTAAGCAGTTTGCTTAGATGCCTTCCTGAGCCCACAGTGCCATGGGGCTGGAGTGTCTGGAGATGTTACTCTGGCCGTAGTCTTGTTATTTTTAGAGTTAGACTAGGTAGCCTTCTGTGCTACCTTTAGGCATTTTTTGTACCCCTCTCAGTATTACCACCCTGGTGGCGTCAGCCAAAGCAGGGTGTGCCAAGTGTGCCACAGAAAAATGAGCAATTGTCGACAAGCCTTTTCTTTGCCAGCAACACTGAAGAAGTGTATTCCCGGCAACTCTGTGTGCTGCAAATAGTCTTTGTTACCAGCAATTAAGGATTGGATGTGATTAAAAAAAAATACGGGCATCTGTTAAACTTAACCCTCTCAAATCAAGTTATTATTTGGCACAAAACATGCTTTGTCCTCTGCAGCTAGTATAATGCAGAGGTTGAGAATGCAAGTCTGTATCAAAGCAGAAAAAAATTCCTGAGAGACATGACTGTGCCTCTGGTAGCACTGTGCTACCTGAGGGGACAGGGAGAAACCACAAATCCTCTGCAGGGAATTTGTTGGCTTCCCATAGGAAATGCCTAATCTGGCAGGTCAGGTCCACTCTCATTCTTCACTCTTCTTAACATTCTCCCTCTTATGTCTTCTGAGAGTCAAAAACCTAGTCTTTCAAGGATATAGAATGGTTGCCTCTAAAGTATGGGGTGGTGGTCCCCACTCTATCCTCAGTCTTCTCTCTTTCTAGCTCATTAGGGAGCCTTTGCCAATTAAGTCTCCCAGGAACTAGTTAGACAGGAATAGGTCTGCTGTGAATGTATCAGATTAACTGTATGTATTCTTTATATTGCTTGTGTGTAAATGGTTGTTTTCTCTGGGTAGTTCATAAATTTGACTAATTCTTCATGTAATCCTCACAACAACAACAAAAAAAATCCCAAACAAATGCATAACAGAGTAGTCAAGAACACAATTCCTCAGTGGAATAAAAATAATGCAAATTTTTTAGCCCAAGTTATTTTAGAGGGCTGACAAACCCAAAGAGTATTTAGTAGCAGTTTTGAAAACGTAATCCAATGCTCTTCTCTGTTTATTTTGATTCTTTCAGCTATTTTTCTCTTTGTTTTGTTTTGGTGTTTTTTCACTCCAGTTTTATCAATTACATGCTCAAAATTCAGGGATGAATTGAAGTGCAGGAAAAATTAGCTCCAGCTTTTCTGAGAAATAATTCTTACTCAGTGAGAAATGTCCAAAAGGACAAAAAATAAGTGTACTCTTTGTGGACCTATACCCGTTTCTAGTGTGGCTAATTACTGTTAAGTAATTACTAACACTTCAGTAGTGGCCGTAACTGACTTTTATGAGCACAAAAGAGCATAAGGCTAAAAGAAGCAGCAAAGTTTATTAAAATAGAGTGGGAAAGTCCTGCACCTCCTCTGGACATGTTCAGGGTGTGGTGAAGATCTGGTGTCCCTGACATCCTTCCACCAGAGAAATGTGTCTCCTAGACAAAATGCATGAAGGACAGCTTGTTTGATGCTTACCAAAATGTATCTATTCCTCTTTAAAGTTTAGAAGTAAACTGATGTCCTGGCTTGTCTCTGCTAGTGCCATGGCAAGTGCTGTGAAGGCAGGGGTGTGGAAATGTTCCTTGTGAGCTCAGTGCTTGTACCCCAGTAGCTGCTTTGGAAGGATGTGGAGAGGAGGCAGAGGTTAGATGAGATTTGTATTCTTACAGCAGTGGATAAGCATCCTGATCTACCTGCTCTTCCATATTTCTGCCCCCCAAGCTCATGCAGCATATTTCTGGTTTCTACATTGTTCAGCACTGTATATGTCTTCTTCCCTCATTCTTGTTCTAACATAATTCATTTTATTCCACAGAGCTGAGCAAGCCTAGCAGTAAAATAAAGCAATGGTTTACTAATCAAAGCCCAAAAGAAAATATTAGTGCTTAGAAAGCTAATGACTATAAGAAACACATCAACCAGTGAGGGAGAACTTGGGAGGGAACGAACTCGTGAGAAACATGCCGGCTAGCCAATAGGGAATGTGACAGGGAGGGACTCTTGTTCCCAATCCAATCACCCACCGAAGAGGGGAGAACTTTCTGGAAAGAGGGAAGGGGGCAGTGGGTGGTGGACAGGAACTCAGGGACGGATTCACAGAGGGTAACCAGGGAAGCAGGGGAGGAGACAACAATTTGACACTCTCAAAAGGAGGGGTTGCCAGGGGAGGGGGGGGGAACCCTAGGACCGAACCATTATAGCTTTAGGGGGAAACAGAACAAACCAAATGAACCATGCACTACAACAGGAACAAACTATGTGTTTGTTTAAAGTGAGATGCCTCCTTAGCTGTCTCAATACATCTAACTCAAAGGCTGTGTTGCAGATACTTACTTGAGGGAGATGACCTGATCTCTTCCCACATCAGATAAATTTTTCAAAATTTGGGGGAATACAATTTCCTATAGAATGCTGCTGCTCTTATTTTCAATTACAGGCCAGTAGCAAAGCATTTTGCAGAGATCTACTGTTCCTCTCCAATAGTCAGTCTCTTGGTCATCCTCTCCCCAGCACAAGAGAAGGTTTTAGGAGAGAGCATTGGTAGCTCCACGATGGACTTGTGCATGCACTTGTGCACACATTTCTGGGGGCAAATGGCATAATTTTCATCTGCTCTTTGTGGGGTGAAAGGACAGGATTGCCAGAGAAGCTTCCCTGAGACATGACTGTAGCAATAGTAGTGACTGCACACTGATGGTGGGTAGCTCCTCTGAGGGAGGAGCAGTTGTTGTCTGCCTTACATCTGGATTACCCAACAGTCATGCCAAACATAGCTTCCCAGCCCTGTGCCAGTGAATAGATACCTTGCATTCCTTTCCCTCACATTTGGAAGCACTGAGCTCTGGAAGGGTGAAATAAAGGCGGCTGATGGTTTGTCTAAAATGGTAATCATGAGCACAGTTGGGATCCATCTACTCATTGTACCCTGTCAGAGCTGGTGTTGACTTTTGCTGCCAGCCCGTACCATTGCCATAATTTTCTAGGCTGCCATCCAGAAAACGTGCGTGGGGATGTATGCAACACGAGTGGAAGAGGAAGGTTTGCTGGGTGTGGTAAGGAAAGAGTAGGCAAAAAGCTTCTGTTTTAGAAAGGGATGAGTAGTTTAAATGCACGTGTTGCTAGTAGAGGTGAGAAGGGTCAATAGGTTGGCCTCCCATGACCAATCTAGTGACATGATGGAATCTGGCTAGAAATATGCAGAGGAGCATGGTTAAAACCTGGGGTTGCTCAAAACAAACTAAAGTTCTAAGTACCATATCAGTAGCTGCTTTGCACAGGAAAGGACACCTGACTTCTGTAAATAATTTTTTTACTTATCTGTGTCTCTTTAACAGAAAGTGGATATCTAAGGGAAGAAACTTAAAGCCTCCTGAGAACCTGAAGTTCAAAAAATTACCAGGACTAAAAGATACCAGTAAACATCTAAGGCTTTTTGAACAAATAGTGTGGACTTACAAAAATAATTAATTATGGGCTTCACCTCAATCCTAGTGAAGTCCAGAGGGGTCTCAGCATGCTTCTTCAGATGGAGGATGATATCCTGAGTGAGAAATAGACTTGTTTTGACTTTAAAGAACCAGAAGCTTTATGAATAACTGTTGTATTTTAGCCAGTTATAATTACCTGTTTATGATGAGGGGAAGTTGTGGTTGTTGTTGTAGTGCCTGTTATTGACTGCTTGTTGAGTCACTTAGAGCATAATTAGAGAGATGAAAGGCCAGTGTAGGGTCCTGAAGAACCAGTTCCTGGCTAAGTGTCTCTATCTTTCAAGGCCTTTTTAGTGTACCTCTTTGATTAAAAACTTTGAAAGCAAATACAGAGCTGCTAGGCAAGGACCCTATCCTGAACTGATGAGGTAAGATTTGGAAGTGCAGGTACCTGCTATTCCAAACAAGGGGCATACTCTGAAGCCACAGAATAAACAAATGATGACTGGCAGCAACTCAGACCAGGCAAAAGTTAAGAGTGACCTCATAATTAGGAGAAGTTGCTACTTGAAGCAAGAGCATTGTAAGGATTTGAAGGATTTGTAAGAGGGAGTAGAAAGTAAATTGGGAACTAGTTCTCTGGGCATGAAGAACACAAGGCACAGAGAGAAGTAGGAGATTCCATATTAGCTAAAAACCCTACCAGTTTTGAAGGATTTCCATGAATTCTCATAGGTTTCCTTCTTTCAAACACTTACAGTTTTTTGTGAGTAACCTGGTGGGGATATTTAGGGACACCACAATAGCCATTGGAGTTGCTAGGATACTCAGTTATATTAAAGAGGGGATTAAAATTCAACTAGATGTAAACCTACATGGCATAGAATTGAGGGCAAGGAGGAATATCATGTGAAAGGTTGCCATCTCTTCAGTGGCAGCAGTCAGAAAAGATGTGATAAAAGCGGTCACAAGAGGAGGCAGGATCAATGTGTAAAAAGATTTTAAAGCAAGGTTACAGGAGACCGGCCTGAGACTATCTGAACTGTGAGGGAGATCATATCTAAAAATATTTTTAAAACCCCAAAACCTGTGAAAGGAATAGTGAAACATTTTCATTTCCTTCCTAGGTTTCTTCTTGAATGAAGCCCCTTTACACTCCTTAATGTAAAGTTAATGTAGTAAATGTAGAGCTGATCAAAGGATATACTTCCTTTCCCAACACCTTGTCAGCTGCTGCAGCCTGCAGATGCAAGAGGTGGAGGCACGTGAAATAGACAATGTGGACTTACCACTGAAATACTGGCAATTTTGCAGCACAACACAGCATTTGTAGCTTAGTACCCAAAGGAATAAGTGATGGTATTGCTCCCAAGCAGGTGTTGGGAAGGAGCTCATGCACAACCTTGCACAATTAGCTGGCTACTTACCTCTTCCCTTTTGTCACTCCAGGTCGCACGCATCATTTCTCTTGCGCTTTTAGAGATAGCTGCAGCAGTGCTGGCACGGCATCCCCAGTGGACTACTCATCTAATCTGTGGCAGTTCACCTTCTATGTAGGTCACTGCAGAACAAATTAAACTTTTGGTGTTTTCGTTTTCTTCTGCAAATGGCTTCCTTCTTTGGTTCAGTTTTTCATTTGTATCAGCATTCACTTTTTTAAACTACGTGGTTCTGTCCATCACCTTTGGCCTTGCAGAGAATCCAGTAACTGTTTTCCTGCAAATGGTAAGTGTATTTTCAAGGCCTAGGCTTTAAATGGTTGTTCTGGCAGAAAAAAAAAAAAAATTCCTCTCATGCCCTTGACATGAAAATAACAATGTAAACAATGGGAGCTGGCCGGAGCCAGCCTGACGCTGGAGTGCACCACGTGGAAGGAGGCTGAAGAGGGAAAAAAATCCTCTACATGCTGTGGAGGGAGGATGTTCAACAGACTATTTGCATCAGGGTTTGAGAACCCACACAATAAAAATGAAAGTGCAGAGCACAAGGCAGCTGCCTGTGATAAGATCACATTGTTGGAAAGGGGAGAAATGTACTGTCTCCACACTAGCTGGCAGGCGACAAAAGCACTCTGCAAAACAAGTGGTGAGATCAGATGTGCAGCCACTCTTCCTTGGTTGCTGATGTATTGAGTGATTGGGATTGATTTTTGGATGTCACGGTATGTCACAGCCAACCTGGGAGAATTAAGCAGATGATATAGCATGCAAGGGAATTATGTGGAGTGTGGATATGGAGGGCAGCTAAAATCAATCTTTTTTAACAAGTAAGTGCAACTTTGTGGAGTTCCCCAGCAGTGGTAGGGCCATAACTTATGTGATGGCTTTATTGCAGCTGTTTGTGTGTGCGTTTGGACTCAAACAGGGAGGAAAGAAGCCTCTTCTATGGCTCAGATAGAGCTCTCATTTTTCTCTGCACAGCTCTGGGATTTGGTTCCTCACATCTGTGGCAAATCATCTTATTTACCACCTTCAGTGACCAATTCAGATGTCAACAGAAATGTCAGTTTTAGAAACTCACAGATGCTATTAGGGGTAATAAACTAGTTGGATTTTTAATCGTATATTTAATATACACTGTGGTAATACTACAGAGTTGGGTTTGAACTCTCACCTAATTTTTAACTCCAGGGTTTTGTTAATGAAAATGACTAAAAATAATTTTAATCCCCTCTAAATTATCTTTAAAATTCTCATGTGCCTTCCTCAAGCATTACAGAAGATTGTGGAGCTACACTCTGTTTTCATTTAGTCTGAGCTTTGTTCCTCATCTTGTGTTGCTGGCTAGTGTTGGTGGTTTAACTTTATGCTCTGTGGATGATTTCCTGGGCCTACTATACTACTTTTATACTCAGTGATAAAAAAGTGATTGCCTGTGTGATTGCCAGGCAGACATGGAGGGGTTTAGCATGCCAGCCATTTTCCTCCACCCTCCTATGGGCAGTTGCAAGCATGTAACTGTGCTTTCAGCTCCAGTGCTCTCACCTTTTTTTGTCCTCTAGGGCTCTTTCTCTCCTGCTATGGATTTGCAGCCTCTTAAAACCATTAGGAAGAGATTTTAGCATTAATTTCTTGAATACTACAACACTGGCTTCTATGTCTCTTCTGATGTAAAGCATGGACAATATCTTCTTTTCACTGCCTTCTCCATGCATGTCCCTGGGCACAAAAAATACCTGATGTGGGAAAACCCTGTGCTAAACAGCGGCAACTGGAGAAACTTCACTGCAGAGCCTGGTGCTGTGTAATTGATCCCTGCCAGAAAAAGGTTGCTAAGTAAGCCTGCAAACAAGGCATTCTTCTGCACATTTTGTGACCACTATGATGGTGTGCCAGAAGACAATACCTTTGTTTATCCCCTGGGTCATCATGGACCTGGGCTCCCATATGAATGTGCATATCTAGAGATAAATTCCACACTGTCCAACGTGGCTTCCATCAGGTGAGATGGTTCAGTCTTTCTCTATCAGTCTGTGCGAATATTCCCAGTGTTCTCTTCCGCACTTCTACTCTGTCAAATAAAAAGGTCTCATTTTAACAGCTTTTTTCTCTGGCCATCCAAGACATTGACAGGACTGGCACTGCAGTTTAGAACCACAGGCACTGGTGGTGATTGCATGGAGCTGTAGAGGTTTGTGCATGCATTGGGTCAGGATTATCACAGGAACTGAGGAACTGTATGTGTGGATTCAACATCTTTAGCAGAACTGTTCAAAAATTACTTTTGTGTGCCCAGAATTAAATTTAGGATGCATTTGGCTGTGTGGAGATGCTAGTTCTGTGCTTATGGTTAATTTGATTATAATTTTTTTTCCATTCTTATGCACTGTTGAGCTATTATATACAAATCAATATCTGTGAGAGTTCTGGCTTACTGAGTAAGCCAGCAAGTAGACTGACTAGAAGAGATACCATGAAGCTTCAGATTGCTCCTCAGTCAGTGTAAAAATGTGAGCAACTGATTTAGCCTTTCAGCGACTTTATGATTCCTCCTATTTAAAACAGTCTGCAGAAGGAGCTTTTGGTTTTTTGGATAAAGGTGTTGTAGAAGGAAAGAACACCTCTTCAGATTGCTGTGCCCCCAGCTCTGCCAGATCAGCCTTTGCTCATCAGCCTGTTGCTCTTCATCAGTTATATCAATGCTATGGACAAGAAGAGCTCTAGTCAGTGGGTAATGGGTGGAGACTGTGGCCTGCAGACTAATTAGGAATGTTTGCTCCCTTGGTTTACTGACACTTGAACTTAAGTAGGTACATCCTGTAGAAGAACATTACTGTAACTCCGTTTCCTGGTATTTTAGAAAGTATAACCTTCCTCGCGCAGCTGCATCTCTAGAAAATTTACTGGGTTTGTTTTTGAATTCTAGCTCTTGTTTGTTTCTTTTTCTAAGTGGGCTTTCATATACCAAAGTGTATCTGTATGTTGACTGTTCTGAACCATGCGCAGTAGTAGGGAAAAAAGTCTTCACTATTCTCTAAGATTATCTTAAAAATAGTAGAAACATGCAACACAAATAACAAGATACTGAAAGTTCTCAGAAAAGTCTGTTTAACTCTTTTTCTTCCTCCTAAAGAGAGACTTTTGCATAATTCTTTTCTATAGATATGTGGATTTATTTTTCATTATTGTTTCTATTGAATGAATTGTGTTTTAAGAATGGCTCAATTTGCTAGGCTTAAACAAAGAATTAATGTCTGAATTGTCATTATAATGTAATTTTTAGGCTGAAAATCCTTTTGGAATGGGATGCTTGTAGCCTAAATTGTTTCTTCTATTTAAGGAAATGGATTTTATTTAACTTTTGCAACCAAGTCTATGTGCACAAGAGAGGAGCATCCAAATTCAGACTAAGAATAGAAATTTTCTAACTGCATTAATGAGTTCCTGCTATGGCTCTGTAGTTAGTCGTCAACAGTTTATACAATTACTCATCTCTGATTTCATGAATGCTAGAGGTTACAGGTGTGTTTTCTTAGCAATTTTAATGTATTGAGTCTTTTTGTTGCAAAGTTCCTGTCGGCAGCTATTTGGGGGTGGCCTTTGCTCTGTCTTCTCTGTAGTTGTTCCTCCCACTGTGTTGGCTCTGAGCTTGGGTGGTGAAGGCAAACGTAAGGTTCTTGTGTCACAATCCCAGGATTCCTCAAATTCCAGTCCTTGCCTTACCATCCCATGTGTCCTGAGATGGACAGCAGGTCTAGTTGCTGAAGACCAAGCTGCCAGGTAATACACACAGCCCAAATTCCTGATCCTTCATGTCTGGGCTGTGCTGGGGTCTGTGACACGTACCAAAATCAACTCTGGAGCTTCCTGGCACAAGCAGCTATGCCAAATGGTGGGATTCAGCCTCCTGAGATCAGCTCCTCTGGTGCCAAGGGGATAGTTGGTGGTTCCTGCATCATCTCTGAGTGAAGGGGATGCAAGATGCAATGAAGTGGGAGCAGGCAGGCTGAATCTGGCCCTCTGACTTCAGCAGCTGCCTGCCTGTGATGCCAGTTGATTTTCTGGGCTAAGAGTGACCCTTAGCCACCTTCCCTCAGGGCTGTATCCACAGAAGGGATGATTCTGCTACCAGGTGTTTATAGATGCTGTATTTTGCTTGTTAGTGTTTCACTGGCGGTTGAAAGCAGAGATCTGCTTCAGGGAAAGGAAACAAATCATGCCCCATATTGAGCCAAACATTACATCTTCCTGGTCCACGAAAGTGAGTTTGTAGCTTCTCTTTCCCTGCACACCCTCCCTCCCTGCTGACTGGGAAACAATGAGGCCACTTTGGCGGCCCAAGGCATGGTACAGAGGTGTGGTGCCATGCCCAGCTGGCTGTGAGCCAAGTCCTGCCTGTAGGAGCCCACCAAACCTCTTCTCACTTGGTGATGAAGCACAAGAATCTGTTTCACACATCTGCTGAGACAAATTTCTTGTCCTTGCAATGCTTCACACTGATTCCTCTCTCTAAGATCTGATTTTGCTTTTCACTGTAAATTGTCACTGAGTGCCTTGGTATTGGGGGATTTAAATGGTTTCAACCCAGCAAGAGGAGACTTGGACCTGCAAATCTGTGGCTGAGGTGAATGTGAGGTGATGGCTGGGTCCATGTGCAGTTCTTTACAGCAGATTTTGCTGTTATGCATAAAGGATACTTAACAGCCAAAAAGAGCTAAATATGCTATAAATTTTACCTCCTCCTCTCCCCCAGTAATGTCTGGCTTTGCCTATCCTGTAGTGCACTGGACGGAGAAATTTGGTAAGGAAGTACCAGGAAATGAACAAGTAGGATCAAAATGGGCACCCCATGCTGCTGTTGGCTTTGTGCACTGTGATCTGATTTTCTCCAAGACCACAGCTGCCCTTCCCTGAAGCTGTCATGAGGCCATTTGGGGTGAGTATCAGTGACAATGGCATGGTGTGGTATGCTGTGGTGTGCCCCCCACCTTGATGGGAGCTGCAGCTCCTCCCTGGCCTCCATAGAAGCCCATAGAAGTTAGAAGGGATCTTTAAAGGTCATCTAGTCCCACTCCACCTGCAGTGAGGCTAGGTCAGGGTGCTCACAGCCCCATCCAGCCTGAACTTGAGTTTTTCTAGGGATTCCTGTCCCTGTAGTTGTCCCCCAGCCATTCCACACTGTCAGTGAGACTGCCGTGGCTTTGGACAAGGAGC